CAGCGTAAGGACTTATCGGACTATTGCTATTACCACAAGTACTAATACTACCATCACTACTACTAGTACTGCTATTGCTACAAGTACTAATACTACCATCACTATTACTAGTACTGCTATTGCTACAAGTACAAATACTAGCATAACTACTACTAGTACTACTATTGCTAAAAGTACTAATACTACCATCACTACTACTAGTACTGCTATTGCTACAAGTACTAATACTACCATCACTACTACTAGTACTGCTATTGCTACAATTACTAATACCACCATCACTATAACTGCTATTTCTATTACTATAGGTACTATTACTAGCATCACAAATACATTTATTCAATGTTAATATTTCAGCTTAACATTGATTATAACCAAAGTATGTTAAATATAAAACATCTAATCAAAATTGATGGACGGAATGTCCTTTAAGGTCACAAACAAACAGAATGACGTAAAATTCAAAGTTAGACGCCATATTTATTAAAATAAACAATTCTTGTTTGCCTTTCCTTATTACGTAATTACAATATTTGTTGTGCTATTTATATAGAAACATATTTATGTTATTATATCGGGAAGGGAATCACAACGTGGACTATTTCTAAAAATAAAGGCTGTATGCTCACGTTTTCAGTAAGATATTCTAGAGGAACTTACCTTGTAGTGAAAAATTTGAATTCCTCGAAAAAACAGGTCTATTTATAGTGTTAAATTTGCCTCATTGAAAATCATTAGAGTTTGACATCGTCGCCGTATATATATATATATATATATATATATATATATATATATATATATATATATATATATATATATATATATATATATATATATATATATTTATATGTGTGTGTGTGTGTGTGTGTGTGTGTGTGTGTGTGTACAATTGCTTTCAATCGTCAAAGCATAATGAAGTGTGTAACACAGTGAACTGGATTTAAAATGATGGTTTCTCTGTATGGTCAAAGAACGCTCATTTAAACTAACTACGATATTGTTATGGCTTGGACGAGGAAAGCAAGAGACGTGAAAAGGCGTTTACAACAATGTTTTGTAATTAAGTCTGCATTTACGACCCGAGAGAATTATTTGCATTAAACCTATGTTTGTCTTTTCAGTTTTCCTGCATGACCAGATTTGCTTAGATGCATAAGAGGGCCTCTCCGGTGGCTTATGTGGAGAGAGCGTCTGCTGCATTGCGGTAGGTTGAGAATTCAAACCCCAGCCTAGTCATACCAAAGGTTTATAAACATGGTACAATAACATGCCTCTCTTGGCGCTCAGCATTAAGAGGTTAATGTTAGGACTGGTTGGCCATGTGTCGAGATAATGTAATTTTAGTCAGACAAGATACCACATACCTGTGGCATGATCATAGACATCACTATGAACTCCCACACGACAGACATCATACTGATATGACTAAACTTGTTAAAGCTACGTTAAACACACACAAACACACACAAAGACACACACAGACACACACAAACTGTTATGAAATCGGATTTCACAATATGAAAACTCCTCAATCAATGAATGTGTAATTTTTATTGGACGTTATCTGTTTGATAATTCAGTCTTCTTAATTGTAATGCTAATACTAGTTGCATTGAATTTTCAGTCTGTGTAAGTAATGTAGTATCATATGTCGGTTCATGTTCGAATTACTGAGATGACAAGAATTTAATTCTATACCTGACATCACGTGGACGTGTCCAGCATATATCAGACAAGAATTACTATCTTCCTCAGGCAATTCTGACTTTGTCGTAGCAAATATGCACTACAGTCAAATAAAATTCTCATAATTAGATGCAAATTATATGTTTTAGGCAATTATGTCATTACCAAACATAGAAGGATAATATTTCGTGAGAAGCCACATCTCACCACCTACCCTAACTCATATCCCCCATTTTTGGTACGTAACCACATGGAGCTCTTAACAGTAATTGTAGAAGCTCAGTGGTATAATTGCTTCCATAGAGAAGATCCAAGATGTCTACGCTTCCAAGATGAACGCTTCCTTCAGACAGAAATTTCCGGATAGCATTTATTGCTTCCTCTAAGCCTTTGGTAATGATAGCAGCAGATTAAGTCCCACGACTTGATAAGAGATGTCATTTCAAGATATCCACTGTGCAATTTTAATAGTGTTCTACGTCTGATTTGCTGTAGTTTTCAAAATTATTTTTTATAATTAAACAAGTGGTTTTAATGTTGGACTTTCACAGACTTGAAATAGTAATGTCTACCATTTGTGTCAATGTACCACTTCTCCTGCTCAGAAACGACACAACAAGGGGTTTGCTGTTTGTATCCCTTGCGCCACATAACCCTCTACCGATATGACTAAAATTGTTAAACAAGCTACGTTAAACACACACACACACACACACACACACACACACACACACACACACACACACATATACACACACATTTGCGTGCTAATATTATCCACCAATATGTTCAGTTTAAAAATGATTCCATATACGTCACAAATAACATGAATCTTGCGATTAAATTGTTGGAAGATAAAAAAATATTATAAATCGTAAAATCTTTCCTGAAAGAACTGAAGCGTAAAACATTATCTACAGGTTCACGCTGTTAGCAAAATAATGAGAGTAAAAAATTAACACAGTGTATTTTTTGCTGTAAAGGAAAGATATTCAAAGAAAAATGCCTTCTCTATTCCCCTCCCGAAGAAACTTTAAAACAAACAAAATCTTATTCTGGGACCCCTTCCCAATATGAATATTGTGTGATGTGATTTCTGTGTCCCCATTCGGTCTGCTCCCCAGCACCGCAGTTGTGCGGGTTGATTACACTATACAACACCATTTTTATTCCTAGGTAGTAAGTGTTATTTCATAATTGCCTATGCCTGAGAAGTATAAAAAATGGCTTCTACTCCCTACAAACGTTGCTTTTGTGACCAGGACAGTGATATTTTGAAGTTTACTTATTTCCAATGAGAAAACGGGCGAATTTGTATCATTTCAAAAACAACATATGCATAAAAATTAACATATTTATACTTAAGTAATATAAAAATTACTACAAAAGATTTAGAAGTTAGCAGTTATTCGAGATGTACGATTATACTGTAAAGAACATTCACGAATCAGCCCTCAAATGTAATCTTATATCATGTTCTCGTTATACTGTCCTTGCTCCTCCGAGTATACCCCCATGTTTTGTTTGAATTGATCAAAATGTGCATCAAGGATATGGACTCTGAGGGACATTCTGCAGCCCATTATGCCGTAGGTCTTCACCAGTGTCAACCCGCTCCACATAGTTTTCGGCCTTGTGATTACCCAGGAAGCCCCGAATCATTACGACAAAGCTGTTCCAAGCCGCTTTCTCCTTACTAGTGAGCAATTTGGGGAAATTCATTGCATTCCAGGATCTTCTGTATATGTTGTCCGACGAAGACACCGGTTTTGACCTTTGCCTCAGACAGCTAAGGAAAGAAGTCTTGAAGGTACTTGAAGGCTACATACTCCTTATCTAGAGTGAAGCCCACTTGTCGTTGTTCCTCCCCACAGAGAACTCGGTCCGCTGTGGCCAGTCCCGCTTGTGATATTGAGACTTGATGTCCCTGCTGTGTCAAAGGCAAATATAAAAGGGAAAGTTAGAGACCCATCAGTTATGATACCATTTTGAAGTCTCTGATGACCTCCGAGCCGTACTCATCATGCTTCAAGGCTTCCAACAAGGTCTTGATGCTCTTGTAATCCTTTTTGAGGTCCATCGAGTGAGCCAAGGGAAGAGACAGGTACTTGTTCCCCTCATGGTGGAGCACGGCATGTTGTAATTGTTTTGGAAAGACTTCATGTTGTAATTGTTTTGGAAAGACTTCAGCTGATTTAGAACACCCTTTCACTTGATTTTGTTGTATTTGTTTTGCAAATTATATTTATCTATGCCCCATTAGGGCCGTAAGAAATTCTCATCATTCCATTATCTATGAACTAAATGCGAGGCAATGCAGCGTTATTTTTAAACAATATTTATTCAAACATTCAAGCATTAACCATGTAAGGGATTTAGCAACAAATGCGGTGTACACCATTTTAAGCCACTCTATGTACGTCATAAAACGCCAGTGTTCCTTGTAGCGGATGCCTCTGGATGTCATGGCTTCTTCGCTCTGAATAAGTGTGCTGATACCCGATGCTGAGATTTAGTCATGTGTTTTCGGATATACCTTGCAGAAGAACACAACTTCAATGATTATTTAGCCGACAATGGGCCATAACTCTTTCACAATAAACGAGGTAGTCTGACAATTATAAACGTTACTCGAATATTTATATATCTTAAAACATATAACACATCGAGAATTTTCATCAAGATTTGGTGACGTGCAAAAATGACCACAAGACTTTGAGATGCAGACAGAAATAGACAGACGTTATATCAGACTCATGAATGATGTTCTTGAGATGCATCTAAATATCAAATATAGTTAATTTGAAGATTTTGTTCAATCATACCTTGAGGAAGGGACATAACTACGTGAAATAACTTAAGGGGATTCGTGCTTATCGAACATTGCTGATTCTGACTGATTCTGACTGAGAGATGGATAATATATAATGTTATATCAGATTTAGTTGATATCCGATACAAATGTAGACTTTAGAGGATTAGTAACAATAGTTTTGGTGACATGATGACAGATATAGTTTCCATGGCATTTTTCTCTAATCATACAGGATCTATGGACCGATAACATGGGACATTTAGTGCAGTTTTCATTGGAAAGGGCGATAACCTGCACAAATATTGACGGAAACTATGTTTCATATTGGTCAGACAACATGCTTACGTATACCATTAAACTACAGACTTTACGAAGTAGTACAGACAACGTTAACAATCATTCATTGCTAATCTTTCCAGAGTGTATCAGGCAATGGGCTGCATAAAAGAGTTACAGGGAGTATTTAAACATGTATCTGTATTTATTGTCTTTACCGATTGCTCCGGTGGTCTAGTGGTTCAAGCGTCTGCCTCGGATGCTGGAGGTCGTAGGTTCAAACCCCGGTCGTAGGTTCAAAACCCGGCCGAGTGATACCAAAGATTTATAAAAATGGTACTAACAGCTTCTTTGGCGCTCAGCATTAGGAGGTTAGTGTCTGGTGTCAGGATAGTGTGACTGGGTGGGACATCATGCTACACGTCAGCGGCATGATGCCCCAGTGCTATTCATCACCATAAGCTGCCACACGGCAGACATCGTAGCAATATGACTGAACAATTGTTAAAGCTACGTTAAAAATTATAAACGCATCAAAACACACGCATTATTATATAGTAATACATCTCTTGAGAACCTGACACAAATATCCTATCCCTTGTAATGATTTTAGGTCCATAGTTGGGGGTTTGTCATCAGACGTAAACCAGCTAACATTGGCACACATCCTTTGCAGATCTCTTCCTGGCTGTGTTCGTGAATGATATGAATCCTGGAAGCAAATGGCGGTGTTTTGAAATGCGTACTGGTTGTATTATATTCATAATCTGCTGGAAGAATATGACATAAATTTCGTATCACTGCTGATCCTTTTAGAGTCACGGGCAGTGGCGGACCAAGGGAAAATGGCGCCCTGGGCGACGATGAAGGCCCAGAGAGGTTTTGGCTCTCTAAGACAATTGTCGCCCGTAGTTTGTCTTCCCAAGACCTCTGGCGCCCGGGGAAACCTCCACGTCCGCCCCCCCCCTCGTTAACATGCAACTTGTTTGTCATATCACCTATGCAACCAACCACAAAGTATTTCATTCAAGAAACGGGAACATAGTTATTAATGTAATGCTATGTCAAAAAGGAATTTTTGAATCCTTTATTTTGTGGATATGCTGAACTTTACAATACCGTGAAATTTTGTCTTATTGTTCGTCCTTGAGTTAGAGGAGGATCATGACCGTATTTACGACAAATGAGGTCCTGTGCTAGTTAAGCTATGAGACCCATACAATGAAAAATTCATCGTAATCTTTTTTTGTTGCCAAGGAGATGGGTTTCCTGGCCATCAGAGGACCCTGTGCTTAAGCACACCTAAGCACAATGGTAAATCCGGCACTGAGCATGACGTCACTGTTTGGTTTGGTTTCAGTGAGCATCAGATAGTTTGTTTCTCGTACCAGTCTTTTCTCTCTCTGAAACAGAGATGCCTTTCGGGGCTAATGCCGTTTCGAGATTACGATGCTCGTAATTCTGCACAAATTATGCTCGAGGTCATACTTCAACTATCACGTTCGGATATTCTCTTGATTTGTCGCTTAATTTCTCTCGGTTACACCTTCATCAACAATTTTTTTTTGTACAGGTTCCTTTCGAATATCTGGAACGATCACCTAGATCACTGAAAATGAGGTCGTGTCAGCTTGAGAGTAAAGAAATCGTAATGGCTTGTTTATTAGCAACTCACCGTGTTAGGCATGCTTAACATGACGTGTAAACTAAAATATTTGTAGTCCGAAGAATCAGACATCATAGCCCAGTTATTATTTCAAAGCCTTTAATGGCAAGGATTTAAAATTGTTAAAAAAAAAAAAAAAAAAAAAAACAGGTGAAAGGCAAGTACAAGAAAGTAATATTTTTGAATCAATTAATACCTGCGAATCGATGAGTATAATTTAAGCCATGATTTATGGATAGGAAAAACATTTCTGCTGCAGACATTTTCTAGAATGATTTCGATTCATTGATAGTTAAATCTAGAAAGCATCATATTTGTAGTAGTCTGCATACGCCAAGTAATAAATATCATTCCTAAGATCGTCTAGGACTGTTGCATCACTTCTATCATGGAACGATCAAACGTTTTCATCGAAAATCACTTCATTATTCTACCTTCAGTCACCGAAACCGAAACTTAAACGTAAAGCATACATTGTGCTGGAAATAGATTCGTTCCTTAAGTTACAGCCGTGTATGAAAGTCCAATTTATTATCCTACACACAAATACAAATCTTGGAACAGTTTTTGTGCATGCAATACAACTACTTTTAAATCACACAAATTTCATTACTTCAAGAAACTATCTTTTTAAGCATCTAAATTCTGAAGTCTATTTAATTTCTTCCAGGGTCATTGATTTTCTTAATGATTTTTTTTTCATTTGTGAATCGTTTGGAAACGACAGATCAACAACATGTCATTCATTTACATACTTTCAGTTTGCCTAAAATAACTACACATACTATAATATGTGTAGGCCGGGTTTTTCAGGAAGTTGCGGTGTCATTTGCTTCATAAACTAGAACGCCAGTACTGAGTGAATCATTTTTACTACAAGCAACTACAAAATGGAGGACTGTAGCTCTTTTCGCGACGTACTTTTGGCTTGTATCAATGACGAACTAGTGGAGGAAAATTATGCGCCATGGATGGAGGAGTATCAGACAAGAATAGCTGCAGAAGACTCAATGGTCGTAGAAGCCGCCTTGAGACTATGTAAAGAATTCCATGACCACGATCCCCAGAGATTTCAACAGATTATGTCAATATGCCACGACTTGCATATTACCAAGGAGAACATCTGTGTCGCATATTCTTCCATCTGTGAGGGAGTAATGCACTGGAGTAAAGTTATAGCTCTTTTAGTTTTTGCTCGGACAATGTCAGTGGAGTGTTATAGAAGGAATGACACAAAAATGGTTTCTTACATTGTTGAGTGGACTTGTGAATTTGTATGCAGATTTATTCAAGAGTGGATAAAAACAAATGGTGGTTGGGTAAGTTGAACACAATTATGAAAATCTCCATGGTATCTATCAATCAATATATACCGTTTATACTCGCTTTTCAAAGGAGTCAAACTGCAATTGTTAGGAGCAATCAGAAGAACAAACAACATCGACCCTGATCTGCAGGCGCATTATGCTAAGGTAGATCAGGATCTATGTTGTCTGCAGTTGGACTCCACTTATAGGCGTGCATATACGACATTTCTCTGTCTTTCTTTTTCTTTTTTTTTTTTTACGAATGTCCACATACCGTGGGTATTGGTTCAGAATGGACATGAATCTGCAAGCTTAGTTTATAGCTATATACGGCATACTTTTCTATCTGCAAGGGAAGAAGGCTTGGGACTAAAATTTACGATTGTAGCATAATCTCATTGATATGGGGCAAACGATGCCTCCATTATATAAAATATTAAACTAACATTAGGCATCCGTGCTTTTCGCACGAATTATAAACATCCGTTCAAAAGCATACTTAATCTTACATCACGTATGTAAAATTAGTTCACATTATCTCGCCACTGTCTCCGGGGAGTATCGTTCTGGATAGAGATGGTGTTTTAAAGGAGATAAACGTAATGCACATTTTCTCTAATATCTAGCTCTTTAAATCAAGGGGTATTGCTTTGCAAAAACCCTTTGCCAAACACAGGTACTCTACGCGAGCTTAAAGTTAAGAAAAAACAAAAAAAAAAAAAAAACAAAAAACAAAACAACAATAATCTGAAGGAAAAAAGTCATACAGAGTGACAAAAATACCTCAGATTACCACATGACTCGTTCTCATTAGAATGATTCATTGAGATAATCTGAGGTTTTTGTTAGAACGAGTCATGGGGGTAATCTGAGGTATTTTTGTCACTGTATGACTTTTCTCCTTCAGATTATTTTTTCCCTTAACATCAAGCTCGCGTCGAGCACCTGTGTGGCAAACAAGCACTGCCCCTACCCACCCCACCCCCAAAAACTTTTAATTGATGCTTATAAATACTTGCTCTTTATGACTGTGTTTATAATTGTATAAGTTAAGAGATGGACAACTTACCGTATCATTGATTTCGTTTCTTGCATATAATTATTTTGATGTGAAATGTGTTTACGAATGTTCTGATTTAAATTGCAGATCGGATTTGTCGAGCACTTCACGCCTAGAGACACCCTGAGTTGGAAATCGTTATACGATACTGTCAAAGACGTGGTGATAGAAAAACTGGCACTGAAAAGTTTCTGAAAAGAAAACGAAATCGAAATAGGAAGACGATTATCAAGTACTCGTTAGTGAATGATAAACCATTTTTCTCATTTGTTTGTCTCATACGTGAGGGGTGTGCAGCACAAGCTGGTTACTCACAGGTGCCCAAGAAATCACTTCAAAGAAAAATGGACCGAAGAAAGTTTTGAGTTTGCAAGGTGTATTGTAGCTGAGTACTAGTGTACAATATTGTTCATAAATTATCCCTTGCACACACTTGAACGCTTTAATTATTATTATTATTATTATTATTATTATTATTATTATTATTATTATTATTATTATTATTATTATTATTATTCGATGCATTTATGAGCGCGCTTTCGTTTGTACAAATTTTAACGCTTGTACAGGCTATTTATATGTATTTTATTGCATACTTTATGTTGATTCCATTTAAGTAGCGTCAAAGGAAGACCTGAAGGAGGAAATATTTTTGTCTTGAGTATGTTATTGTACTATCACCTCAATAAAGTCACAGTTTGTATAATACCGTAGTCATTTGTTACATTTTAGAGTGCGTAATGGACATTATGGATATTAAGATGTATGTAATGTTTAAAATTAACCGATATAAACTGAGCACCACGTTTCAGAAAGAAAATGATATAAGTAACGGAGTAGAATGTCAGCGTCGATATTGTAGGGAGAACATCTATTTTTTTTTAGAGGATATACGGGCATATTTCACGTAAGAAGTAGAAACATTGTATTGCACCGAGTGTTAAAAGAAACATAAGTCGTTTGTTTTCCTTGCACGCGACAAGCAATATCGATTTTCCTCGAGGATAAAGGTCATGAGAATCTATCTTGTAAACAGCTATACTGAGATAGAAACTGATTTCATTCTTATGGAATTAAAAACATTTGAACAATTTACCTTTACAGGTGTTTGTGGGAAAATATAGTATTATAACTATATCCATGCATTTAGCTGACGTTACTTTTTTTTCTACTTTACAGGGTAAATATTGATGTTATATTTATTAAAAATAGAGGAAATGTCAACATATTTGTATTCCCACCATCCCCACCTGCCGTCCAGGAAAA